AATGCATTTTAAATTAAGATTTGCATGTGGGTTTTCAGAAATAATGCTATTGCACACTTAATAGAATACAGTGTGAACTTCACTTTTATATAAACGGGAAACCAAAAAAATGCATACAACTCTCTTTTCTTGGTATTTGCTTTATCACGGTGGTCTGCAGTCGTACCCACAGTACCTCCGAGGTGTGCTTGCAGATCCACGGGATGGTACGTGGAGTACTATACAGCAGTGGAAACCCCACAGCCACACCTGTCAGCATGCAGGAACTGCAGGGGCTGGATGACGCCAGTACATCTCGGGAGACACACCCAGGGTGGCGTGCCACTCACAGAAAGCTCGACCCAGGCGTCGTCTGCAGGGATGTGCCCAGGTATAAAGGAAGCGAGAGAATCACTGACACAGCTTCAGTGCTGGCTGTCTTGGATGGCAGGAGATCCAGTGGGTGAAGCTCGCTTTCTCATGGTGGCCGTGAACTTGAACTTGCTTCTATCTGGCTATGCATCATAATACAAAATAAATGAGACTCAGCCCTGCCCTTGGTGCCCCAGCTCAGACCCAGCTGCCTCTGTTTCTTGCCACAAGGGCTCGTGCTACAGTCTCCTGGAGCTTTGTGGGGAGGAGACTGCTCATCCCGGCTCAGGTAGACCCAACCTCACACTGAATTGGAGGCACAGGGCTGGCAGCTGTGGGGAAAGGGGTGCTGGGTCCAGAGCACAGTGGCCTAAAACCCCCTGTGGTACTCAGTCCCTTGAGGGACCTGTGGGCCCAGGTGCCCCCTGGGCCCCACAGCTCCCAACACTCCCAGCTGTTGGAGATCCCTCCCGGTGACGCCCGGGATCGGGATCAGCCCACGCAGCCTGTCCGTTTTCCCAAGACTGAGGGGTTTTCCCAGGCATGGTTGAACATTAAAACTGGGAGGAACCAGGCAAACCTGAGCCAACTGGCCACTCCCCCGGGTGTCTGGTGCCCGGTGGGAGGGTTGGCTGGCCACGGTTGGTTTGTGCTGTCGGGTGCACCAGCCGGGACCTTGCTGCCCTTCCCGAAGGCCACACTTTCCTGGAAAGGAGCAGGCGATGCCAAGTTTTGTCCTCCAGCTGCTGGACAGTCCTCCTGCCCCTCCTGGGGACAGCAGGGTTCGCCTGAGCAGCCCTGGCTGGGCGTTGATCTCGCCGAGGGCAGATCCAACTGGCAAAATCAGACTGGAAGGCCCTGAGGCTGGCAGCCAGACCCGAGAAATCAGCCACCACTCCATGACCGTCACGGGTGGCCTCTGTCCTGGGACATCGTCACATGGATCTTGGCACAGTTCCCTTAGGAAGAGCCAACAGTAGCCACAGCTGTTTCCCAGGAGGACTGACTTCCTGTGGGCATCAGGGGTGTGTGGGCTCTGGGGGGCACAGGCAGCTCTCCGATGCCAGAGCGATCCAAGAACTGCCAGGTAAAGGTGTCAGAGCACCGGCTCTCAGCCATCTAAAGGTCTCAAGTGGCTTCGTCGCTCCAGTTCACCCTCAGGCAGCACCGCCTCCATCAGACAGTGTTCTGTTGGGCTGAGAGGAGGCTGGTTTCACAGCCAGCGCTGAGAAAGGCAGAAACGCGCACAGAGCCAACTTGTGCTTCAGTCGCCGGCCCTGCAGGGGCAGGAAGACGGAGCCCAACGACCCAGGACTGGAGAACATCAGGTGGCTTCAGGTGGCTTTTTGTAAAGATTGAAAGATTAAAGCATGCAGGGTTTCCGTGCCAGGCAGCTCCTCCCTGGGTGGAGGGGTGTGTGCCACTCGGCGTGACCACAGATGGTGGCCCGCCAGGCTGAGGCACATCCTCAGGAAGTGGGGAGACATGGTAGGAAGGCGACGGTGGTGCTGATCTCCGCAGACTCGCTGGTGAGAGGAGGAGGCTTGAGCAGACCACCCAAGGTGTAGCCAGCATGCCCCGCGCAGGACTGCTGGGCCTCCAGGACCCAGAGGGAACCCACTTCCCTACCTGCTCTGCAGACACGCGGCCCCTCCTGCCACTGTCCCTACTGACTCATGCTTCGTGACAGCCCTGGTCACAACTGAAGACCATTAAACACTTTTTAATTCTAAAAATGCTGTAATGACACCTGGCTTCCCAGGAGCAGGCCAGTGACACCTGTCTGGCCACTCCTCACCACATCCCCAACCCGGAGCAGTGCCCAATCCCTGGGAGGCTCCTGATGACCATCTGCTGAGTAAATGCTGAGTACGGCCAGTTGGGAGGCCAGACAGAAGCTGTGACCTAGAGGAACACCTGGCGTCCAGGGGCCCCACCTCTTCCCCCCTTCCCCGGTCCACCTCCAGTCCTCTCTGGCACTCCCTGCCTGCCCAGCACAGTACCTAAAGTTCTGGGTGGCTCAGTCTTTCCTTCCGTTTGTTGGTCAGTCCTGGGGTCAGTGGTTCCCCCTCTGAGAGCTGACCTTGTCTTCAGTTTTCTGTTCCCGTAGATCCTTACTTCTGTGTTGATGCTGAGCGTCCAGGTCTACGGGCTCAGTGAGGTCGGACACGCCACCCTGGGCTGGCAGCTCTGCCTGGCTCTATCTACAGCCGTGGGCGAGCTCAGGGACCCAGCCCACCTGAGGCAGGTCCCCTGCTCTGAGCTGGCTTTTGTCCCACTCGAGACAGGTGAGCCTGGTCAGCCTGGGGAGGGCAGTGCAGTGACAGCCCCGTTTCCTCCTCCTGCTCACGAGGTGGAAGGAAAAGGAATCCAGCCTGAGAAGGTTTCAGACAACCAAAGGGGAGAGCCACCCTGTCTGGGAGCTAGCGCCCTGGACGCCAGCGCTAGGAACCAAACCTAGAGGACAGCAGCAGGCCAGCCCCAGAGCCATTTTATTTCCAGGCCAGACTGCACCAGGCTTGGTGGAAGGTGTGCTCGGGGCTCCTGGCCCAGGTCTGCTGCCCCTGGTTCCCTGGGGCAGGCCCTGCACATTGAGCTGATCCTTCCTGGTCATCCAGCAGCCTCCGCTTCCGTGGGTTTTGCATCTGTGGATTCAATAAAACCTGGAATAGCCAATATATTTTTAAATTGTATCTGTTTTGAACATGTTCAGATTTTCTCTGGTCAGTATTCCCTAAATCACATAGCAGAATGGCCATCCAACCGTACGTACTGCAGGGCACTGGGCTTTGTTAGTAATCCAGAGTTGGCTTAATGCAGAGGGAGGCTGTGGGCACGTCATACACAGACACTGTGCCGTGTTACGCCAGGGACCTGTGCACTGCGGGCTTTGGTATCTGTGGGCATCCTGGAACCAGGCCACCTGGACCCCGGGGAAGACTGAAATCGTGGCAGCACTTGCCATGGGAAGTCACATCAGCCTCCCCTGCTGCAAACTCCCCCAAATCTCAGGCCTCGCTGCAGCAGGCCCAGGCCCTCCCTCCCGTGGGACCCACCGCAGGTGCCTGCTGTGCAGGGGGCTGGCGTGTGCAGATGGAGAGCTCAGGGGGAGCGTGCCCAGACGTGGCCGTGGCAAGGGATCAAGGCTTCTGAAAGCAATCTGGCAGATGTCCAGGGACCCTGTAAAAACTCTTGGTCTTCCAACTAGTCATTCCGAGGAGGTGCAAGTTGAGGGGACGGTCCATCATGCAGATGGAGCCTGGCGGGCAAGGACGTTCACAGGGTACTTAAAATGACCAAAACATTTGGACCAGGGGCTGGGGTGCAGTGGTTAGCACTTGACTGGCACGCACGAGGCCCTGGGCTCATGCCCAGCACCGTAAAACCTAAAATAAAACTGGGCCCAAACACCCCACCGTAGGTCACGGCCAGACACAGTGGACAGACGAGACAGGGCACTGGGCAGCAGACCCAGCTGTGGGATGGCATTGCATGTGCGCAGGGCGGGGGGGCGGGGGGGATCCTAGGCGTGTCACCTGACAACATCATCAGAGCTTAGAGCATGTAAGGTCTCACAGTGACCGACCACTTCATGACGTGTGACATGTTCCCAGGATATGCCTTCACTGTCAAGTGACATGTGGCTGGACTTAACGTGTTTCCATAGCACACTTAGCAGCACAGGGATGCTCATAGGGTTTAATGACCACATGATGTGAACGTCCACATGTATCCTATGATGCCCCTGGGGCCGTCCCTCTGTGTCCACAGAGGCTTGGTTCCAGGCCCCTCAGACGCCCAAGTCCGGCAATGCTCAAGGCCCTTCAGAACAGGACGTGACCTCAGCGGGGAACCTGCCCCACCCTGCTGCATGCACCATCCCTAGACGCCTTGGAGCGCTGGATGCATCTAAACACCCTGTGGATGATTGTTGTTCTGTTTTACTTAAGGAAAATTGTGAGGAAGTCTGCACGTGCTCAGTGCAGGTGCAAAGTTTTCCAGTTGTTTTCAACACGGGGTTGGCTGGACCTGGGAGGTGGGGTGGGCTGGAGCCACAGACCCAGGCCACTGGATGCCCCTGTGTCCCCAGAATCAGACTGCGGGCAGCTGCCCACAGAGGTGCTGGGTGACCATTGGGCGTCACAGGTGGGAACTGGAAGGTGAAGACCCTCGTGGACAGGGCGGTGGTTGATTAGCCGGGACCGGGCAGGGCTCTCCTCCCTCACGCTTCAGTTTCCTACCATAAGCACATGAACCTTCCAATAAGAACCGAAGTCTCTTTTAAGTGAAAAGCACATCTGTCATGGTCAGGACTTAATGAAAGCGCAACATCCCCAGGAGGACCTGGGCTCGCTCACTCCTGAGGGCAATCGATTCTTTAAAACTTCCTCCAGGGCCGGGCTGGGGCCCCGTGGCAGGGCGCTCCCCTCACCCATGGGAGGCACTGGGTTCCATCCTCAGCACCACATAAAAATGAATAAAGATATTGTGTCCATCTTAAAAAAAAAAACTTTAAAAAGCCCCAAACTTCATCCATAAAAATAGAGTGAACATGGGCCTTCCACAAGGTCACTGGGCCATCGGGCGCGAGTCTGTGGGGGTGACTCCCTCCTCCACCTCTTCTCGCCGAGTCCACCCTTGTGAACCTGCGGGGAAAGTTCTCTAGACGCAAAGCAGAGGAGAGAGGCTCCCACAGGGCCCAGGAGCCAGGAAACCCCCGGGGGGAGGAGGCCTCTGAGCCTCCTGGGGTGCAGGCCACGGGGCACTGCCTCTTGCTGGTCTCCTTGAGCCCTGGTGGCTCAGAGCCGCACCCCACCTGGCACAGCACCTGCCCCAAGGACGGCGCCTTGCACCTGGTGTCACTAACGTGTGGTCTCCCCTGCAGGCGCAGCCAGGCCCCACACCGCCCGGAGAGCCAAGTGCCAGTTATCTGTGACTACGGCTCAGGCTTCAGCAAGCTGGGCTTCGCAGGATGCGAGGCCCCCTACGCCGTCTTCCCAACCGTCCTGGGCAAACTCCGGCATGACGTGAGTGGCAAGGGCAAAGGGCATCCCCCTGGGTTACACAACCCATAGGCGCTGCTGGCCCACGTAGCCATCCCCTCTCCCACCGGCTGGCCAAAGAAGTCCTCGGGGCAGGTGGGCATGTGTTGGAATCCTGGGCTCGTGGCTGGCAACGCCAGGCTGGCTGGGCCCCCCGAGTTTCTGCTCCTCCTCCTGCCGTGCTCTGGTTGTGCTCTGTAACGGACTACCTGGGGCTGGTCATTTATGTTAAAAAACAAACATTTCTTCCAGTTCTGGAGACTGCGAAGTCCATGCCCGGGGGCCCTCATCCGGTGAGGGAATCCTTTTTGTTGTTGTTGTTCCAGGAATTGAACTCTGGGGCACTCGACCACTGAGTCACATCCCTAGTCGCCCCCTCCCCTTTTTTGGTATTTTATTTAGAGACAGACAGAGACTGAGTTGCTTAGCACCTTGATAAGTTGCTGAGGCTGGATTTGAACTTGCAATCCTCCTGCCTCAGCCTCCCGAGCCACTGGGATGACACCTGGCTGGAGAGGGCCTTTTTGCTGACCACCCCATGGTGGAAGGTGGAAGAGGCAGGAGCATGAGAGAGGGGGAGGGAGAGGGAGAGGAAGGTGGGAGGGTAGAGGGCTCCGGCCCATTCCCTCCAGGACATTAGCCCCGGGGTCACCTCACTCCCAACACTGCTGCGTGGGCTCAGGTTTCCAACACAGGAGCCCTGGGGGCACCTGCAGGCCCAGCAGTGGGCACAGAGGGCCGCTGTGGGGAGGCCCCGGCTGCCCGCCCACTGGCCCTTGCTTTTCCCACTTTGGGGACTGGTGGGGGTGCCAAGGAGCAGCCCACTTAGACAGGAGCCCAGGAGTGCTGATGGGAACTGGCACTCAGCCTCCGCACGGACAGCAACCGGCATCTGCCTCCCCAAGAGCACGTGTCAATGACAGAAAGTGACCCCGTTGCCATGGCTCCCGTGTTTCAGCAGATTTCAGATTTTATCATGGTGTTGACACACATGTCACGTCTCCCCTCTTGACCATGGTCAGGTGCACAGCTCAGGGCTCGGGGCCCGCGCGCCTGCCGGGCAGCCATCATTACCTCCAGGGCTTCCTCTCCTCCCAGGCTCACCCCTGAGACCCTCACCATCCTTACGTGGAGGAGCCACGGTGCCTGTCCCTTGGCGACTGGCTTAGCTCACTGAGCAGGGCGCCGGGGGCAGGACTTGACTCCCACGACAAGCACCTTCCCACCCTGGGCCCCCTCCCCTGCCCGGGCACTGCTTCTGCATCTCGGCTGCGGGGAAAGATGCTGCGCACAGAGGCCTCTTACGTCGGGCCTTCGATTCCCTGGGGTCTCCGTCCAGAGACATGCTGGGCCACGTGTTTTTCTTTGTCTAAGAAATTCAGATTTTTGTGTCCTTTCTAAGCACTAACTCACTTTTCCACGAGGCCTGGGCACACTGACGCGGGTCTGTGGCTGGCTGCCAGCTTCTGCTCTGAGCCTCGCCTTGGCCACAGTGGGCTCGGGCACCCCACCAGCCAGACCCTTTACCCTACGCAGGATGTTCCTTGCCCAGGCTGCCCGGCACAGCCCCGAGGGCCTCCACGTTCCCCCAGTGACGGTGACTTGATGAGTTACAGGGAGGGACTGTGAGGCCGCTGGGCAGAGAGCAGCCCCAGCCCCAGGAAGTGACTCCACATGTCCGTGCCCTGGGTGAGGCAGAGGGGGGTCCTGTGGACTGTCCTGAAGGTGGCAGCTCTCCCTGTCCTGCACGGTGGAGACTTCGTGTCCCTGGACCATGACGACACACCCTGGCCCCAGCTGGCTAGGCAGTTGTCCCCAAGACCCCAGTGGAGGCCTGAAGCCCGGGAGAGAGTGGAGCCCAGCGTGGGCTGCCCTACACACCCCTCTTCTCAGCACAGGACTGACGGAGGGGGCACTGAGGCCTGTAGCCGCCGTTCTGTGGGTGTGGTCTCTCCAGGGTCCAGACACGTGTCCGGACGCAGGTGACTAGAAAGTGCTGCCCAGAAAAGGGGCGGGCGGGCCACCGAGACAGCACCACAGGGTGGTGTTGGTGTGGAGCCCAGGGTCACAACTTCCAGAGCCAGAACTTCCACAGTCAGTCAGTGACAGAGCAGCGGGCCGTGGCGCCTCGCGGGCTGCGGTAGCCTGAGCTGAG